GGTCGAACCACCGGCCTGACGGCAGCAGCTGCACACTCCCTCCACTTGTCCACCGAGGTGCCCCGGATGCCCAGGTGCCGTCTGGACCTGCCCAGTCAGGGAGCCCCCGTGTGCATCAGGAAAACCTCTGCCCGACTGCGCCCTCATTGCAGCCACTGTGCCAGTCCATCTACACCCAGATCCCGCTGCGGGCACACGGAAATGCCCTCCACGAGCCTTTTTCGGTGGAAAAGGCAAGTGAACAGCACTGGATTCTGGAAGTGCACAACTCTTCCTGACCTTCTCACCACGATGATTTTTGGTTCTCTCGAAACGCCATCAACTCCAGGGCTGTGCCGTGTCCTTTGGAGGAAGGAATGGGAGGGATGCTGGAGCCACTGTGCCAGTCCATCTACACCCAGATCCCGCTGCGGGCACACGGAAATGCCCTCCACGAGCCTTTTTCAGTGGAAAAGGCAAGTGAACAGCACTGGATTCTGGAAGTGCCACCCTGGAGGCTGACACAAAGGCGGGAACTGGTCGACTCCAGGGATGGGGTCGAATGAGGTTACTCCCTGTGGGACCTGTCCGCTGTGACCTGCTTCTGACTGGTCGATACTGGCCCGGGCAGTGGGTGCCACGCCTGTGGCTGTGCCCCTGATGTCGTCTCTGTCAGGTCAGCCTCACTCCGGGAGGCACCCTGGAAGGGAACAAACCACCACCCAGCATGCCGCCCTCTTCACTTGGGCGGGGTGCCAGGGCCCACCTTCCAGCCATCTCAGAGCATCTCCCTACTGTCGCCCCCGGGGGCTTCCATGGCTGAGCTTTGGAAGGGGGCCTCCAGGCCTTTCGTGGGGGTCTGCCTGGGCGGCCCTGCTACGGCACAACCTCACAGCATCGCGCCTGCTGCCACTGTTGAATGAACGGAGAAGCGGGGCGTGGGCCTTGCCCTACAGACAGCAGGGGTGACGGTCGGGAGGGAGGCCTGGTGGCTGGCTACTCCTTCACCTGCTCCTCGGGACACAGACAGCAGGGGTGACGGACGGGAGGGAGGCCTGGTGGCTGACCACTCCTTCACCTGCTGCTCAGGAGAAAACACCGGTCGACCTGCAGACTGGACACTCCGGAGCCGCTCGACTCTGGCAGCGTTGCTGCGAGCGGTGAGAGACAGCGGGGACACCAGATCCCGTAGGTGGTGTTTTGCTTGGGCTCTTTGGAGCAAAACAGCTGGCTGGAGAGATGTCCACCCTAAGTCAGTCAGCCCGAATTTTCTGCCCAGGCGATTGGCTACTGTAGTGCAGGTTGATTGGGTTTCCTGGGTCAGCTGGGGTACTTTGTCAGGTCCTGGGCCGCGGCCTGCCTGCCAGGACTCTGTTTCGGCACAGGGAGAGGGGTTTCACCGTACTGACGGCTATGCCACTGAATCAGCATCTGCTGATGCCAGGAGGAGTTGGTCAGTTTGTCCTCTTGGGAGGGCCGTGCTTCAAAACGGACCCAGTCCGTTCATCCACGCAGCCAGCCCCACAGGTGTTCAGATGGGAGGACGAAGGAAGAGGAGCCGCAGAGAGAGAGAGGAAGCTCTTGGGACTGTCACATGGGCCCGGTGCTAGAACAGGGCAGCTCCCTGTCCAGAGGGCAAGCTGCCCAGAGCTGGCAGAGCTGCACACGGCTGTGAGCTGGGTCACTTAGCAGTGGGCAAGCCAGCAGCAGGGAGGCTGAAGAAACTGGCCTGTCCTGAGGGGGGTCTGTCCTCACCGAGGGGAGGACAGGACAGAGAAGGTTCTGCATGCACGTCAGGAACTGAGAGCCATGCTGCCCTGGAGAAGGGAGGGATGTGCCCCCCACCACCTTGGGGGAGCCTCCCAGGGTCTGCATGCTTCCTCATCTAACCCCACATTGTGCCTGGTTATCTCCTTAACTAAACCACTTACCTGTAAGGATGCTTAGATCCGGGCCAGGTCGGTGGATGTTGAACTGAGCCAGGGAGTAGAGAGGATCCGAGGACGGAGGGTGGCAGCCCTTTGCCTCATGGAAATTCGCTTTGGGCTGATCCCTGCCCCACTCCCTAGGAAGTCTGCACAAGTCCATGTCACAGATAACAGATGCGTGCAGGCAAGGCCACGCGTGTAGCTGCAGAACAACGGAGACTGTTGAACAAGATCAAACACGAAGCTGCAGTTTCTCTGCATGCCCTCCATCCAGGTCTGCTTCCATCTCTGCGCTGACCCCGGAAGAACACCGCCCCCTGTGACCCACACCCCGTCCAGGGGACAGTCTGCACATCCCCAAGGGACTGAGTCCTGTTCCTCCCCAATGTTCTCTGTGTTTGGGGGGCAGAAGGGAGTCCGAAGGGGCCGGCTCAGCCCTGAGGGCAGATGAGGTGAAGTTTCTCAACGGGATTGCCACAGACTAGCCCTCGCTTCCCTCGGGAGACGGGCAGGGGCACAGTCCACGACGATGGGAGGAAAAACAGTCCTGGGCACAACTCTTCCTGACCTTCTCACCACGATGATTTTCGGTTCTCTCGAAATGCCATCAACTCCAGGGCTGTGCCGTGTCCTTTGGAGGAAGGAATGGGAGGGATGCTGGA